TTCCTGTGTTTAGTCCCTTCAGATACGAATGGTGACACTGACACAGACACAATTAAGAGCACACAGACAGGGTGGTGAACTCTAAGACACACCAGATAGAAGGGAGAGCCTCTCTACGAGATGATGCTCAGAGTTCTCTGTTTTTTTTATCCATCTTGCTGGGAGATTTGGATACTAGGAAAGAAAATTTCAAAGAAGTTTAGAGAAAAGAAAGGTTTGTTATCTCATGGCCAGAAAATATCCAGAAAGTATTACCAGTTCCCATGCTGGTCTGGGCCATAAACTTAGAACACAGGACTCAGCGGCTGCCTTTCAACACTTAAAATTGATGATTATAACTTTGGAAAAGAAGCCACGGTTTATAGGAAGGGAGCAGCTGGTCACACAGATGGGTCAAAGCTCAGGATCTGATATGCTGCATTTCAGCTGATGATCACAGAGGTGGGGGCTCCTGGGATGCGACAACCAATGTATATCACAGAACTCTGGGAAGAAGGCTTGAGGCACACAAGAGAACTATTCTGAACCTTGACATTGGGAGGAAAACTGTTCAGCAAAAACACAAAGAAAATTGTAAACTGAATCATAGGGAGGATATCACACATGCCATGGAAAGATGGATGGTAGCGGAGAAGGAAAATTGATGGAAAAAACCTGGTTTACATGGCTATTCTGGTGTCTCATGAGATGTCTGTCTATCTATCTATCTATCTGTCTATCTATCTATAGATATATATATAGATATACTTTTTAAGCTAAATTAAGCTTGGGGAATCCTACATAGTAGAAATTACTCTTTGAAATGGTACCATGCACAATTGCACAGTAAAATCTATTAGGAAACCCACAAAGAAAGCAACTTGCCTGTTTAAACCCAGAGTTTATCACTGCTGTTAGGCACGTGCATACTCACATGACAACCATCCTACGTAACAACAACTGTGAAACACTAGTGTTCCAACACGGCAGTTTAGAGAGCCTGGGTCCATATCAATGCACAAAGAATTGATAATAAAAATAAATCAACAACAACAAAAAATTTTAAATTCCATAAAACTGGAAGTATAAATAAAATAGGAAATAAAACACATGAAATGATAACATAAGAGGTAAATATTATCTTAAAGATAAAGCAAGACTTTGGAGTATGAGATTTTTAGGCTAAAGTAATGGCATATTTGGATAAAAGAAACAAATTCACTGTAATGATCTCAAGTGGCACTTCATATGAAGGTAAATAAGGAAGTACACAAAAGTGGGAATAGAATTGTGGTGGGAACATGTATGTAATAATAAAAGGGGAAGAAAATGGAAGAGGTATAATTGTGTGAGCTCACAACAGCATGTCATAAAGGTATAATATGTCATAAAAGTGATCTGATTTCCTGGAATAAAATCAGAGGATATTAAGAATGTGTACCATGCTTTGCTGATAATTTTAATCTCTCAATAAATAGAAGAAGTCATAACAAAAAGGACTTGGTGTTGACTTAATATTAACAAATATGGGAAGAGTCATTGGTTATTTAGAAATATCAGAAACTTTGAGAGAAAGCCAAGTGCTCATAAAATCTAGTCTGTCCATAATCCTGTCAGAGACATTTTAGAGGAGATTTCTTGGAAGGAAGGTTACAGTAAATAATCTTTAGGTCCCTGCAGGACATTAAAGACTGCTTCTAACATTCTACAGTCACAGTGAAGAATTCCAGAGGTGGCTGGCCTGAAAACTGCACAAGAAGCAACATTCTGTGGCTCTCTGACTGTTGGAAAGAAAGAAAGAGTACTACACTTCAGGTATGGTAAAAAGAGTATAAGATGCTTCATGTAAACACACTGTAGAGCTTTAAGAATCGAAACAATGTGGTATTGGAATAAAAATAGAACAGTAGTACAGAAGAGATACTTCAGAAATAGATGAAAATATACACAAAAATTGAATTTCTAATAAAAGAAGGAGGTAAATTAATAGAGGCATGGAAAACTGGAAATATATATCCACTTCTAGAAAACATTCCTGTGTGCAGAATGGAATAAAGGACTCATAAAGGAAAAGTTAAATATAATTTTTTAAAACAAAGAAACAATATTAAAAGGCAAAAAACAGACTAGATAAATATTTTTTGGAAATATGAACTCCAAAGATTAAAATGAATTAATGACCAAATATAAACCAATAAGGAAACTACTAAGAATCCTATCTGAAAAATGGATATAGTATGAAAGTAATCTATTTACAAAAGAAAAGATATGGATAGAAAATAAAGGGGAGGGGAAAGAAATATTAAAAGGGTAGGCATAAAAAAACTTAAGGTAATACAACAGGATTCCTTCTTTGCATATCAAATAGTAAATATTAAATACATATGTATATTTTGCAAAGTAATTGTACATATCAAACAAGAAACTTTAAAATGTTCATTTCTTTTGACCTACTAATTCTACATGTAGGAGTCTATCCAAGGAAAATAATTCTAATGTTGAAAAGCTCTAAGGATAAAAATGGTCACTGTAATATTATTTGTTAAAAAATTGAGCAGAAAGGAAGAAATAAAAGTTAATATTTAATAAATGCTTACTATGCATAGGTATAATGCAGTTATGTGTAAATTGTCATATTAAAATCTCACAGTAGTCCCATGAAATAGAATCATCATTTTACAGAAAAGGTAAAAAGCTTTTACATGCTTGAAGAGGTTAAGTTCTTTAAAGAAACTTGGCTAGTAAGAGTGAAAAAAGGGAAACAGCCTAAATTTAAACACTAGAACAGTTAAAGAAACTGGGGAAGATGTATTCAAAGGATTATTTTAATTTTTTAAATATAAACCCATACAATGGAAAAATAACCTGGAATAAAGTGTTAATAAAAGTGCATAGTAGAAAACTTTATGTTTAAAATGATTAAAACATTTTCATAGAAAAAAGACTGGCAGAAAATATGTAAACACTAACCAAATAAAACAGAACCTGAAACTTAGTAAACCTGAGATAGTCTCAACAAATGGAGTCAGCTGGCAGCCCTGAGAACAAGGCGAAGTGTAGTTAAATTGGCAGACTGGGGAAATGATGGAGAGATGCCCAGAAGACCCTGAAAAGCTCAAAAACAGTTTCAGCAGTTTGGCTAATACAAGAGATCGAGAACGTGATTCAGGGCAGATATGGTAAATGTTCTATAAGAGGTAAGGCAGTAATTCTTTTCATGGTAAGTTGCTGGGAAAATCATAAATTGGTCATGGCTAAAATGTCAGAAGACTCAAAGTTATAAGAAAAAATAATGAATTATTGCAGTTGTAGCTTACTCTGGAAGTCACACAACATTTTCTCAGATAAGTGGGTGGTGGAGACAAGAGTAAAGTTATTTCTGCTATGTGAATATTTCAATTAGGCATCTGGGAAAATTTGGGTGGAAAAACAGAAATCGTTACTTTCAAGTATTAGAAGGAAGTATCTATTTAGATTAGCTTTAGGGAAAAGGGGTCTGGATAAACACATGTTCAAACCATAGAAAATGTCATTTATGTATACACACACACACACATCCTGCAGCAGACTAATGCTCATTTGTATGAATTTTATAACATTTTGGAGAATTTCATAAATATCCTGAGTATAATGTTTTGTAACTCAATCTTTGACTTTCCTTTTTCTGTCTCCAATTTTCCCATCTGTTGTCATTTCTCATGTTCTTTCTTGTATTAAAAAAGAAACATATGTGTGTGTTTAAACATACATATGTACTAAATGCATTTATGTAAATACATATGTACATAGAGTACACTGGCATACATATATAATTGCTACAACTAGTTGAGAATTTTACGTCTACAGCCACTGTTTATGAAACAAATAGACAAATGCTTGGTCAACTCAGCACAAAGATCATCACAGGTCTGTGGTTGTGAAACTTAGTAACTCTCCAAAGACGATTGCTTTCTACTTAGTACATGCCACCTACCCTCATCTAGCTTGGCGGGCAAAAGTGAATTGTTCTTCTGACATTGTAACAATGATCACAGTATAACTGTCACCTCTCTACTGCAAATTCTGGGAGGGGAGGGACCAGGACTGTTTTGTTTACTGCTACAGCCCCTGCACCAGGAGAGCATCTCAAGGAATATTTGTTGAATGAAAGACTGAATGAGTGAGAGACTACTTCAAATCCTATGTGTCTTTCTTGATAACTCAATTTCCACCTCTCTGATAATATTTTCCTTCAGAGACCCTTCCAGATCCTTCTGGAAATTATTGCATTACTAGCCTGCATCAATACTTAACACCCAATACTACACATTATTTTTACTGGTGTTTTCTGTTGCTGTGTTTTTCAATTTAGGGAGACATGTTACTCAAGGACACTTATATATTGTATATTTATTCTATTTCCCAAAGCACTTGTTACCTCAATAAACATGTATTAAATTAAATGATGAAATTTTTTAAGTGATCTACTTTGTTCCATTCCTAATCATTTTCTGTATTGTGTGTGTTGTATTATGATTCCAAAGTGTCAAGGAAGGAAAATGTGGAATGTAGTGTCAGTTGAGTTGGGTTTCTAGTTCTACCACTTCAGTGCTGGAAAAACTCACCTAAACCCTCATCCTCTGTTTCATGATCTTTAAATAGGAACATTAACAAGAACAGCAACAACATTAAGTATCTGTAGAAGAAGATATGGCATATGGTGGAATCAAATGGCATAACATACGTGAAAGAGTTTTACAAATGGGAAGCAAATATTAGCTCTCCTATTTACCAAGTTAAAATATGAGACACTGATGTTGCAACACTACAGATGGCAGATGCTGCATGTGGCTCTTTTTGAGGACAGCTTTTAGGCAGGGGAGCAAGGTGATGAGAAGAATCTCAAGCACAAGCTGCCAAACATGCCCCAGTCATAAATCACAGATCATGCTCAACACTTGCGTGTGGAGAGATTTCTGGGCGCCTGTTGCCCACACCCTTTGGCACTGCTCAAGCATCTTCAAACCCAGGAGAAAGCTTACCAGACATGAGCTGCTGTCCAGGCAACCCCACGGGAACCATGCCCAAGTTATTCATGGCGGTGGCCCAGGCTGTGGGATCTGTCACTGACATGTTGAGCTGGGTCGTGTCTATCGTTATGCTTCCCAAACCATCAGCTGCTGTGGAAAAAAACAAACTATGACTTAGAGTCAATAGGCAAGGATGTTTGTTTCAAAGGAAATTGCATTTCTAGAGATGTGAAGCTTCATTTAGCACATTCCCAAACCACCGAAAAAATAAAGCACTGTAATCTACAGCAATAATTTATCCAGATGTAAACATAAAGAGTTTCTGAATACATTCTAGGAGAAAACTTAATGGCACATAGTTTATATTACACCCAACATGCCATTAAGGAAGTACCCCTGGAAAAAATTGAAGAATTGCCAGCTTCTCCCAGTGAAACGACATTAGTTAAGTTCCAAGGTTGAGAGGCAAAGCAGGAACACTCTCTTGGTAAAACAATTGGCTTAGCAGACAAATAATAAAAAAATGCACCTGGCTCTGAGTATAATGCTGGAGCAGGCACACCTTCAACTACCTAACAGCATCGTTAAAAACAGCTGTCAAGCAGCAGAAGCACAGAACCCAAGAATGGACTAACAGTTACCAAAGGGAAAGGGACTGGGGAGGACGGGTGGGAAGGGAGGGATAAGGGTGGGAAAAAAGAAAGGGGGCATTACGATTAACGTGTATAGTGTGTGTGGGGCACGGGGAGGGCTGTGCCACACAGAGAAGACAAGTAGTGATTTTACAGCATCATACTATGTTGATGGACAGTGACTGTGAACGGGTATGTGGGGGGGACCTGGTGAAGGGGGGAGCCTAGTAAACATAATGTCCTTCATGTAATTGTAGATTAATGATACCAAAATAAAACTAAAAAAAAACAAAACACAGCTGTCAAATGGTCAAATAGGTCCTGACTGAACTTAAGTGTTACTTTGTAACATATTCCTTCTTCAACTTTTCACATCATTACACTTGGAGAATGCAGGTGTCTGCCTAAAGTGACTCCCCCAGCTTTTCTTAATAAGCACAGACTTTCATAAAACAAAATAAACAAATAGATAATATTAAAAACAAATAGCACAGAGCTAAAAAGAAAATACAGCAAAATATGTCAAATTGATTTAATGTTCTTTGATGTTCACTTGTTCCACAGCCTCAGTGGAGGATCCCAGTTCCGGTTCAGCTCATACTTTCAAGGCTGGACATGCTTTTCTAAGAATTTTAAATGCCTTGCTTGTGTCCCGTGCTGGCCACCCACTGTTACCTGCAGCCATCATCTGAGGAAGCGGCTGGGGACACTGGCTGAGGCTTTCGACGCCACCTGCATCTACCACTGAATTACGAGCCTCCTGGTGGGCTGAGGCGCTTTGATGGCCGAGTGCTGGGTCCCCACGGAGATCATCGCATTCTGCAAAAGGGAAAGAAGGGTGGTGAGAAACCATGAGAGTTAACTGAGGGCGCCTTCAAGGGAAAAACTATTGTCTGTTCAAAAACCAGCCACAGAGATCAGCTTCCAGTCACAGGGCACAGAGATGGTCCTGCTCCTGCGCCCATCGCTGTCTCCCGGCTGGGCGTGGGGCCCCGGGAGATGGTGGCCCCGCCAGCAGCTGCCCTGAGCCGGGCTGGCTGAACAAGCGGCCCCGTTTGCTAGAGCGGCCAGTGCCTTGCCTCCTAGTGAAGAGGCTTGGAAGACAGGGCTTATCAGCCTCTGCACAGCCTCTTCCACACACTACACATCCATGGAGAGGGCAGACTCAGGGCCAAGTATGATTTTTTCAGAGTTAAAAATTAATTGATGCTGTTATTTTGGAAGATGGTCATCTGTGGAATGTATTCAAAGAGGGGGAAAAAAGTGGGGCAGAGGAAAAAAAGGCAAGAAGATGTTCACAGCAAGGCTGGTAAAGGAGTGTACCTGAATTATAATAGGACAGGCAAACAGGAAGAAGATCTAGAGGGTGTTGGGGCAGCACAGCGAAAAGCATTTGTTGTTTTAGTTTTATGAAAAGATAAATTTAACTCTCCACAATTTGTTTGGTCTGAATTCTCCCTAGAATTGAACAGTTTGTATATATGTGTACATATGTAAGTATTTTTATTGGACTTTTCAAAGCACATTTCTAACAAAAACAAATAACAATAAAACATTATATAAAGTGGCCTCCTCTATAGCACATTATTTCTAAAATGCTATGCCTTCTCTCCATCTTAAAAAATGCAAGAACATAGCATTCATATATATATATATTTTAAGTGCACTTTCACCAGTTCAAAACTGGAAGATAAAACATACCATTTAGACGGGCGATCTGAGAAGCTTGAATCTTAAGTAGATTTGACATAACAATGAAATTTAAATATTTATTTTTGTTTAGGTGTAAATTTAGAAAATTTCCTAAGCCATGTTTCTGTTAATGGATATTTTAGAATTAGATGTCATGGTGGGTTTATCAGTGAATCTAGTGCAAAATTTGGCCTTTTTATGGCATTTTCTTTTATATCTTTGATTCTTAGGTGCAAGAATCAGTAATCTCTTTGAACCCTGTGCTATCAAAGAAAACTGATTGCCAGTTGAGTATAAATTTAGTTCAAATGGAAGCTCAGTTTTCAGTATCTCAAGATAGCTGGATAATGAGCAAATTGTTTCCATGGTGTCCACAGATCCCTAGCCTTCAACTAGAGGGGCATGTGAAATACTGGGAATTTTTTCTAATAGTCTATCTGGAAGATGAAATATCTTTATCATGCAGTAGTGAATGATTCCCACTTCGGGAGAAAATTATACTCAGGACAAATGTTTTATACCTTGCAACTAAACTCTACTATCTGAGTGAATTCAGAACTTGCTATGTATTGTGCATCAATGATCTTAGGCAATGCATGCCATCAGACAAAGATAGTCTCACCACATAAAATAAACGCAGTAACATGCATGCGTGGCTAACCTAAACATCTGCCTTTTAGCTATCCACACACCAGAAATATCTCTATGACAAAACCTCAAAGTACTTTCCTCTCTCACCTCCAGCCATTCCAGAACACCAAAGCAGAGTCTGGCGAGAATGTGTTCGTTTGCTCAAATGGCCCTGTAGTAGAGCTGTTTCATATCATTGCAAGGTCACAGTTTGTCTTACTTATCTCCTCAAATGAAGTTTAGTTGGCTGGCTTCTTTCTAGCTCAGGTTGTCCCCAAATGGGCATTAATCACAACTTTTTTCTGTCCATGGGTCTGCAGTTCTGGAGCAGTATATCAGAGCACATCCACTTACTTTAGGCTTTATGACTTCTGCTTGACCGACCATGTTTCACCTTGCCTTTTTAACGTAGAGTTTAAGGGATGGTGTTAGCTATCATTGGCTACATAATGTTTTTACTTTAGTAATACAAAGGAGTGTGGTGGTCCTGCAGGCCCATAGCTTCTACCCACACTTTTCACTCCCATCTTAACAAACTGATACTGTTTCATTGAAAATGGTAACAAACTGTGACCGTTTCACCTAAAAAAGCATTACTTTATTGGCAAGATGTGGTTTGTAAAACTGAATTTGTCCCCTAATGAACTCAAGACTTCAATTTATTATATCTCTTCAATCCCTTAATCCAATGGTTTGAATGACATACCATTTCATGTGGCTACCATTTACTTAGGATGGTGACTCTAAAGTTCTATCACATCTTAGGCATTTCCAATAGTTTCAAGGATGCTATGCATTCTTTAAAAATTTTTAATTGATTCAATCAGTTGGCTTGGAAGAATGGTGATATTTTTAAATTAATTACTACCAAGTGATTTACGAATACTTGCAAGAATAATTTTTATACTCTATTAAAATCTATTGTTCCTATTGAATCCCTGCCTCTTTAAATGATTCAAGGCCATAAAGTCTAATTTATCATTCAAATCAATTTTTCTGCCTCTTTTCTTATTTCTAAACTATTGAAAAGATTAATATTCTTAGTGATGTTTATTTACACATAGAGATGTGGGGAATTAAAAAAAATTGCCGCTAATAAAGCACTTGGAATAATGTAGGTGCTAATTATTTATTTTATTTGGAAGTGTAGTGTTTCCATTAAGGTACCCTGCGATCTTTGTGTTCTGCTGGATAATTATGTAATTAATTCTAAAACAGTGAGTAACACTTGATATTTCTAAAAGTGTTGTCCTACTTTTCTGTGCCACGCCTAAACTGTAGCAGAATATTTCATTTTCCACAATCCCTTTATAAAATAATTTCAAAGATGCATGAATTTTTCCCTCTAGGTTTTTTTTCTGCCTAGACAACTACAAAAGCTTTCAAGAGACACATGGCTAATTATGAGATTGGCAGTTTCTATTTACAGCTTTTCATGAGGTAAAGTCATCACAATACAATCAGGTGTACAAAATGCTAAGCATACAGCACAGCTTCTGTCCAGGGTTCAAACAAAATCTAACTTGTTCTTTCTTAAGTTATATTCAAGTATGAACCTTATACCCGATTTCATAACAGTAAGCCATGTTTATGCTCAGGATTTAATTGGGCTACATCGCTGGGGTAAATAGTTTTTGAAACTCAGTATTTATGAAAATACTATTTGGATTTTTTTAAATGGCACAGGATTCTCAAACTCTTAGGAACACAACTCTTCCGAACCCTGTCCAAGTTTTATAGGTCCCAAGGATATATTTATACTGTAAATAATAAAACCTATCTGTAACTGTACACAAAACATAGATTCCTACTAAAAGGGAGTGGAGATGAGTTAAGTATTGAAAATTCTTTTTTATTATTATTTAAAAGAATGATTTTGTTTGATGTAAGTCCTTAGGTTCATGTCTACTTCAATAGAAAAACAGTTATAGTGAGACAAACAGACTTAGGTCTCATTAAGAGTTGAGTCTATAGGAAACATATTTCATATGACACCTGAAAATTTTGTATTTTACAGGAATTATTCATTAGTGTTATGGTTTATATTAATAGTAAAAAGAAAAATACATTCTCATCCAAAGTTCTACTTTCCTCTTCTATCACTAAGAAAATATTTCACTTTGATCTTTACATAATCAGTAGGATACTGTCTTGATGTTATGGAAATGTTCCATAGTTTCAAAGAACACAGAACACTGTTGAACAGATGTTACTTACGTAATAGTTACGTATTAACTCTATGATTTTTAAGCAACTGTCTATGAATAATAAGGGAGACCTTTCTGTTTCCTATAATGGTAAGCTAAATAATTCAGACAAATTCTCCCAATAAAAAACAACCAGAAAAGCTTAATGTCTTTCATCAGGTTTATAAAATTCTTGCTATTATCCCTTCAAATACAAAGAATCCCAAAGGACACACTCTAATTACTGTAGAGTATTTCTAAACATGGTCCTAAGGAGAAAGGATGCTGTTAAGTACTGGGTCTTTGGTTTTACTGATCTAGGAGATAAGTGGAATTTGCAAAGTTCAAGGCAGAGTGGAATTGCTCTGCAGTGAGATAAAAGAGGACCCCAAGACTAAAAGCTCTGAGTGCAAAGAAAGAAGAGGTGTTTGGTGGTCACCCATGGGAAAAGGAGACTTCAGAGAAGAGAAATGAGTAAAGCAGACGTTCAGGTGGTTCATTGGGAAGTATAGACTGTAAATCTTTCCCTGCCCCCTCTACAGAAATGTCAGTAAAGCCTACATTGCTCCTTGATTCTTAGATAGGAGTAATTTTTGGGTGGTGGGTGCATTTTAGGGGAGTGAGCTTGAAGAGGATAATGAGTCAGATGATAAGGGAGACTACCACACTACCACATGATAAGGTTTCCAGGTCTGCTAAATATACAGGATGCTGGTTATGAATGATCAATTCATATCTCCTAACTAATGGGAAAGAAAGGGATTAAGGTTTTGAAGAAGAAAGTTAGATTTGATTTTTTTAATTAAGGTATCATTGATACACAATCTAATGAAGGTTTCACATGAGCAACAATGTGGTTACTACATTCACCCATATTATCAAGTTCCCTCTGACACTCGATTGCAGTCACTGTCCATCAGCGTAGTAAGATGCTATAGAGTCACTACTTGTCTTCTCTGTGCTATACTGCCTTCCCCATGACCACCTACATAGATTTGATTTTTTTTTAGGTGGTAATAATAATATATATATATATATTTAATTTATTATTTTTATTTTGGTATCATTAATCTATAATTACATGAAGAACATTATGTTTACTAGGCTCCCCCTTCACCAAGTACACCCCACATACCCCTTCACAGTCACTGTCCATCAGCATAGTATGATGCTGTAAAATCACTATTTGTCTTCTCTGAGTTGTAGAGCCCGCCCTGTACCCCCACCACCACACACACTATACATGCTAATCATAATGCCCCCTTTCTTTTTCCTGCCCTTATCCCTCCCTTCCCACCCATCCTCCCCAGT